ATGGGCTGTGGAACGGATTAATTTCGTAAGTAGAGGTACCACTGTAGAAGGTTGAAGAGCGGGACGTTATAAGAAGTACCAAGACGTTATAAGAAGTACCAATTGTTTATCGAGCCATGAAATTATGTTTGATAACAAATTTTATTGTTTATGAAATTACGAATAAAAATATTATTTATTCTTTCAGGAGCAGAATGTGGGATAAATGCAGAAGTAGAAAAACAACTTGAAATGGGAAAGAAGCTCTTGGCAGCTGGGCAGCTAGCAGATGCTTTGTCTCACTTCCACAGTGCCATAGGTGTGTATTTGAAGAATGCCATTCAAGAATATATGTTTTGTTGTATAGTCACAGAATCACTGAGTTGGAAGGGGCCCCAGGGGCCATCAGGTCCAGTGCAGGATTTCCAGCAAGAACATCCCCATCAAGTAGCTTTCTACCCCTTTTTTGAAGATGTCCAGAGAAAGAGGCCACACCACCTCTCTAGGCAACTGGTTCCATTGCCAAACTATTCTAATCAAGTTCCTTCTAATGTTCAGTCAAAATCTACTCTCCTATAACTTAAAACCATCAGACCTGCCCCCTTCTGTCTGTGACAGCCCTTGAAGTATAGTGCAATCATGTCACCCCTCAGTCTTCTTTTCACCCAGCCGAACATGCCTAGCTCCTTCTACTTCTCCTCAAATGTTTTGTTCTCCATACCTCATCATCCTTGTAGGCCTTCTCTGAACTTGCACCAACTTGTCTATATATCCCTTTCAAAAAGAGGCACCCAGGACTGAATGCAATACTCCAGATGAAGCTTACTTGGGAACTATGGTTTTATTAATGTTTCATTGCATCAGAGTTACATTGATGTGTCAACAATACGCCTATAATCCTTTTTGCACATAGTACTGCCAAGCCATCTTATGCCTGTGCGTTTGATTTTTGTGGCCGAAGTGCAGTCAGTACTTTCTTCCTTCCCAGCAAGGTAAACTCTAAACTAGAGGTACTGTTGAACAACAGCATTGCCTTTTATTTTTGTTGTCTGTGTACTATCCCTAAGATTTTAAAAAGAAATCATTCCTTATATCAAAGTTTCCCAGTTTGAACTTTGAGGGAACTCCAATTTAAGAAAGCCAAGTAGCTCAATTGAAACTGAACACTCTATAGGAGAAGTGGGAGAAAACCTCCAGGTTGTTTTTTTTGGGAGCAAGGGAGAGACCGAATGGTATGTGTGCCTCAACTGCAAAAGAAATGCTTTTCCTATGTTTCACATGAGATGGAGTACATTGTCCCTCCCCACAAGATATCTCCATATTCCAAATAGATCCCATATTAAGCAGCAGAAAGTCTGACTTGCCTTGGGAGAAATGTTCTTTATATTTGAGTTGTGGCAAAACGTGGAGAAGGTTTCCTTTCCTTAACATAGCACCGTTGCAGTGGCAGGGGACATTACTAATGTTTGGATTTTTCTACTTGAAGAAATTTTATCTCTTTTTTCAATCATATGATTCCACCCTCCCTCTTTGCCCCTTTGATAAGGATGCTCCTGGAACACTGCTGATAAGCGTTTTTGTCTGAAGGTTTGCTTTGCACTGCAATCATTTTGAGAGTTGTCCTTAGCCTGGTCCTGCCAATTTACTGAGCTGGAAGTGCATCCATTTTTATGCACTAGAAAAAATCTTGTGATTTTCAACTGTGAACTGTTTTTATGTAGATGATAAGAAGTTTTTGATTTCTTTTAGATGCAAAGAGATGGTGGGACTGATGGACAGTATACAGCAGCTGTCTGTGATTTTGTGTTTGTAATCACACACTAAATCTTTGGCAGAGAGTAACTGATGAGGCTGTGTTGGTATTTTCTGTTCCAGGATCAGCCGTTTTGCAGCATATCTAACTTAAATTTCCTTTTCCTCTAAGGGTGATACTTAAAATGAGTAGCTGGAGGAATGAGGAGTTAGCAGAAAGTTTTTTGAAGGGTGTGAGTGAAGTAGGAATCTGTGATAAAAGTTGTCTGTCCCCAAAGCAGAAATTTCCATACAGTGTAGCTTCAGACAAATTTTAGCATATTTTCCCCCACTGTTTACTCTATAGAGTGTGTTATGTAGCAAGATTATTTTATGTTTAAGTGTGCATGGAGGGATGGAGAAAATTCCCCTCCCCTAAGATGATGGACTGCAACTCCCATGATGCCTTACTATTGGTTGTGCTGGCCAGGACAGATAGGAGGTGAAATCCAGCACCATCTGGAAGGCTTCATCTTCCTCACTCTTGTTTTAGAAAACATAAGGTGTTCTATAGCTCTGCATCACAAGAGCTTGGAATCTAAAAATCATCAAAGGACAAACAACTGTGGAAGGGATGAAGAAGCAAGAGGAAGCAGTGAAAGAATATTCAGTTGTTTCAATTATACACGCTTGCGATTAATTAAGGTTAATTAAAGTAGAACTAGGCTGGGAAATTTGAAGCCCTCCAGATGTTGTTAGCCTCTGACTCCCATTAACTTAGCCAGCATAGTCAGTGGTGAAGGATTGCAGTCCAACATCTGACAGGCCACCTGTTTGCTGTCTTTGTGGAAGGCCATAGGAACTAGAGGATTTTAATGAAGGATTCATAGGAAATGTGGGGAAAACTGTTCTGATTCTTAAACACAGTCTAACCTTGACCCATATCTTCTGCAACCTCCTTTGGGAATATTAAGGACAATCCTATCCATGTTTTTGTAGAAGAACAACAGGCAATACCAGCAGATAGTTATGCTTGCTATTTTGGATACAAGATCCCCACAATTAAACAAGTTCAGTCAGCCTCTGTTCATTTACCTACCACGGCCGAGTCGATATTTCTGTTGACTGACCTTCCAAAAAAAAGAGTCGAAGGTTTCTACAGATGATTAACAATTATTTGGCTTGACAAATTAACCCTTTATATGTTCTTCCTGTAGGACCTTTAAAAAAGTAATGCTTAAAATTGTCCAACAGTCTTTAAAATGGTAGTAGACTAGTAGGAAATCTTTATAAAGAAGATGAAAATAGTCCCATGAAGTTTGGAACAGCAGCAGGCTCATTTAAACCTTAGGTTAAAAAAAATCAGCTAAAGGAACATGACCCTTATCTAACAGAGGTTTTATCTTTTGACAAGTTTAGAATTGGAAGCAGGTATATAGAGCATTCCCTGTTGCCATTTCAAACTGAGAATAGGTTTCCTAGAGACTTCCTCAAGTCCTGTCGTGCTCTGTGCATCTGAACCTTGAATAGAACAAACCTTTATTCTGCCAAGACATCTACTTTCAAATTTCTTTCTTTCTTTCTTTCTGCTTATAAGTGTGGCTTTTATACATTTATGGTAGATTTTTAGTTTATTTTTATGATTTATTGTTTCTCATGTAACAAGAACATGCTATTGAATGGTTATCGCCAATAGTATGGAACAGAGATCATTGATAGAATGAAGTCCCCTGTCCCCCTAACCTAGTGGTTCCCAAACTTTGGTTTTCCATTTGTTTTG